TGGTCTGAACAGCCCTGGGGGGATCATTGGATCATTCCCTTTGACCTGAACATCTTTAGGGGATTGTTCCCTTTGGCCTGAACAATCTTTAGGGGATTGTTCCCTTTGGCCCTGAACAGCCCTGGGCAGATCATTCCCTTTGTCCGTGGCCTGGTTTTCCCCCTTTCCCCCAGCCCTGCTCATTTTGGGCTCTTTCCATGCGAGCTGCAATTAGAGGTTTCTCTGAACTGCCCCCACACAATTTTTGGGGGGGCTTGGGGGGGCCAAGGACCCCAGCTCTGCTCCAGGTGGGAGCAGGGGGTTGGGAATGTGCTCAGGGTTCAGTGCCACATCCATTATCCACTCCCAAACTCATGGTGTGCCTGGAGAAAGGAGGATTTAGGGAGGAGGGAAGGTCCCATCAGCTCAGGCCGAACCTGCAGCCGCCGTGGCTGGAGCTCTGCCGAGCTGGATCCTCTGGGATCTTTTCCCATGCCCAGGGGCTGTGGGGAGCTGACATCACAACATCACACAGGCAGGTGAGGCTCTTTTCCAAACAGAAACTTGGAATTCTGTCAGTTTGGAGGTGCTGGCTGCAGGCACTCCCAAGGCAACGTTGACAGCAGCAGATTTCTATCAACAAAGCTCTGGAACCCAGACGAGGAACAGGAATGAAACTCCTCACTCCTGGCTCCCTGCTCCTGGAGCCACTGGGCATTGGGATGTGTCCAAGCTTCCCTGTGTCCTGGCTGGGGCTGGAGCTCTGTGTTTTCTAAACAAACACCGTGCAGGAGGGGGAGAAGTGCAGCAGAAATATTCAAAAACCACCAAACCCACGGGCAGGCTCTGGGCACTGGGTTTTTCCTCTGGTTATCATGAGACTGCAGAGCTTTCCCCCGCAGCTCCAAAGGCCTTTTTTTCATGGAATCCCAGACAGGTTTGTGTTGGGAGAGACCTTAAACTCATCTCATTCCACTCCCTGCCATGGACAGGAACACCTTCCACTAGCCCAGGTTGCTCTAAGCCCCATCCAGCCTGGCCTTGGACACTTCCAGGGATTCAGGGGCAGCCACAGCTTCTCTGGGCAACCTGTGCCAGGGCCTCCCCACCCTCACAGGGAAGAACATTTTTAAGCATTTTGTTGGCTCTGGAAGAGGAATGTGATGCAGCCAGTGAGATAGGACACTAAATAACCTCCCCCCTTTCCCAGATCCTCTCAGCCAGGCCAGGCCCAGCCTGGCTGCCCCAAACCCTGCTGGGCACAAAGGCACTTTCTCTCGTTCTCTTCCTCTTCTCACCTCTCCCTCTCTCTGGGAGAGCCACCAGGTCACCAAGGGATTTCCAGTGTCTCCCTCCTTTCTTCAGAAAGAAGAAAGGCAAAGTGTCCCAGCACATCCCGTTCCCAGAACCTATTTTATTTAACCAGGCTGGAGACAAAGGTCAAAGAACAGACATTGTTAAGGGTTGTTAAATGGCCCATTAAAGTCTCTCCTTTGAAGGAGACTCAGTCTGCAGTCCCTGCCTTCCCAGCCTGAGCCAGGTGAACCCCAACCTAGAGCAACTCCCTCTGCTCCTCCAGCCCTTCCTGCTGGCTTTCCCTGCCCCTAATTAACCCCGCTGATTACCTTCCAGCTAATCAAGGAGTACTTCCTCCAGCTGGCACTCACGTGGCTCTTGGGATGTGTAGGGGATGATTTTGAGTTGATGTAACCACAGGGTTCAAAAGAGGGGGAGTTCCTTGGAACAGCTTCAAGCAGTTCTGGGTGGAAAACAATCCTGCCACACCCCCTGTGACACCGATTTTAACCTTCCCTGCAGACTTTACATAAAGGATCAACTTCAACAGAACCTGGAACTGAGGAGGTTTGGCATTTTCTGGGCCACGCTGGCCCGACACACCTTCTGTGGACTTTGCTCCACAGGCTCACGTGGGGTTTTCAGCCAGACAGGAGTTTCCAAACCAGCCTGGGCTGTCACTGCCCAGCTCCTGTAAAACCCAGAGGAATCTGTCACGAGCTCTCCCCAAGCAGCACTTTTGCCTTCACGGATTCTCTCTCCCACCCCAACCTTTGGAACTGAATTTAGAATTCCTCTTTCTGGATTCTCCCAAGAAACACAACAGCAATGAGCTGCTCACCAAAGCCCCACACCTGGGCCAGAAACACCTGTAATAATAATAATAACACAAGAATAATAACTCGTGGCAAATCCCTGATGTTCTTCTCAATGGCTGGATTGTTCCCAGCTCAGTCTGCTGCCCCTTTACTCCAGGACTGGGAGTTCTGCAATTACAGAGAGAGAATTTATTTCCAGGGGGAGGGTTTTCAGGAGCAGATGCACCTGGGTGGGATGTTTTAGCAACACGGTGGGGCAGGAGCTCCTGCCACCCCATAAACAGAGAGAGAAAGAGCTGCAAACCACCGGGGCTGGGCAGGAGCTGCACATCTGCACCTACCCCGGGGCTCCACGGAAGATAAAAGACTGCACTTAGTGGGAAAGAGCATTCCAGGGCCAAGCTGGGCAGGTAAACAAAGGGAAGGGACTTGATTTCTTTGCCCCCCTGCTCTAGGAAAGGGGATTCCCTCCTTTCAGACAGCCTGGAAGAAGCAGGATCCTGGACTAACCAGGGAAATGGACCACCTGGCCAGGGAGGAGAGCCAGGATTGTGCTGCCTCGGGAAGATCAGGACTTGGAAGATCAGGCTGTGGAAAAGGCTGGAGGCTCCAGAATCACACAGAGGGTGCTTCCACTCCCCTCATGGTTGAGGCTTTGTTTGAAAAAACAACCCCCAAGTTGCAATCAGGCACCAAATCACCCAAGGAGGTGCCTGCTGCCTTTCTTGGGAGCATCCAGAGAGAGGAGTTCTAAAGGGGTGGAGGCAAAAGTCCTGCTCTGCTTTAGGCAGCAGATTCCTCTCAGTTTTATAGGAATGGGCAGTGACAGCCCAGGCTGGTTTGGAAGCTCCTGTGTGGCTGAAAACCCCAGGTGAGCCTGTGGAGGGAGAGGAGCTGGAATTAACCTCCCTTGGAGCACTTTGAAGTGGTGTTTGCTCTGCTGCACCCACCTGCCTCCTCAGCAGCTGCTCCTTGCCGTGCTTTCTGTCCCTTTCTGAGTGGAAGCAGGGCTGGGGTGGGATGAGCAGGGGGCAGATCTTCTCATGGATGCTTTTCCAGTCGGCCCCCTGGTGAGAGGCATCGCTGCCAAAGGGGGCACAGACAGAGTTTTATCCATCTTGGAGATGGTGTGAGGGAAGATTATCCCCTGCTGGGCCTTCTGGACTTTCCCCACAGGAATCCCCCCCACCCCGGCCCTTGGGCTGCTCACAGGGCACGTGATATTCCCAGATGGAGGCACAGCTCTGTCCTGCCAAGCCCACCTGGTGCTGGGTGTTAAAACCCTTATTTAAATCACTCCCCGAATTCCTGGTACAGTCAAATCCCTGGATTTGTGTCCCTGTGGACACAAAACCCCCTCAACCAACCCAATCCAGGTCACTGTGGGAGCAGGGAATGCTCAGTTCCTGTGGGATTGCTCCAAGGGCCGTGGGGGGATGTCTGGGACACTCCAGAGCTCCTGGATTTGCTCCCTGTTCGATGCTGGGATTGAGCAGGAATGTTCCAGGTGAGTAGGACCACTCCAGCTCCTGCTGCCTCCCTGCTCAGTTCCATGAGGACCCTCTCCAGGCTCCCTGGTTCCATACCAGTCTGGTCCCTGCCTCCTGAGCTCTGTCCCAGATCTCATCCCTGCCATCCTGGCTCCATCCCTGTGTCCCAGGCCTTGTCCTGGGGCTGTCCCTGTGTCCTGAGCCTCATCCCAGGGACAATTCCTGCCTTTTGCCTGTGTCCCAGACACATCCCAGGCTTTGTCTCTGGCTTGCAGTCCTTGTCCTGGGCCTGTTCCTGCTTCCCTAGTTTCATCCTGGGCCTTCTCCCTGTGCCCTGAGCATTGTCCTGGGCCTGTTCCTGCCTCCAGCCCCTCATCCTGGCTCTGTCCTGAGCCTTGCTGTGGGACTATCCCTGTCCTGTGCCCTGTCCCAGGCCTGATCCTGCCTCGTGTCTCATCCTGGGCCTTCTCCCAGTGTCCTGAGCCTTATCCCAGGCTTTCTCCTCACGTCCTGAGTGTTCTTCTGGGGGTGTTCCTGCCTCTTGTGTCTCATCCTGGGCCTTCTCTGTGTGCCCTGAGCCCCATCCTGGGGCTGGTCCCTGACTCCTGCCATGTCCCAGGCCTGTTCCTGCTTCCTGGGCCTTCTCCCTGTGTCCTGAGCCTTATCCTGGCCTTTCTCCCCACGTCCTGTGCCTCATCCTGGGACTAGTCCTGGACTCTTTCCCTGTCCTGTCCTGCCCCCTGGGCCTCATCCTGGCCCTTCTCCCGGTGTCCTGGGCCCCACTCTGAGATCAGCCCCTGCCTCCTGCCCTGTCTGGGCCTGATCCTGCCTCCTGGGCTTTCTCCCTGTGTCCTGGGCCTTCTCCTGGACCTGTTCCTGCTTCCTGTGTTTCATCCTGGGCTTTTTCCCAGTGTCCTGAGCCTTATCCCAGGCTTTCCCCTCATGTCCTGAGCCTTCTCCTGGGCCTTTTCTGTGTGACTTGAGCCTTGTCCTGGGGCTGGTCCCTGACTCTCACTTTGTCCCAGGCCTGTTCCTGCCTCCTGGGCTTTGTCCCCACCTCCAGCACCTCATCCTGGGACTAGTCCTGGCCTCTTGCCCTGTCCTGTCCTTCCCCCTGGGCCTCATCTTGGCCCTTCTCCTGGTGTGCTGGGCCCCATCCTGAGGCCAATCCCTGCCTCCTCATCCTGCCTCCTGGGTGTCCTGAGCCTTCTCCCAGGCTCTCTCCCAATGTCCTGAGCCTTCTCCCAGCCTCTTTCCCAGTGTCTCTTCTATTACGTAAACAGGGTTGAACCTTAAGAATGTTTAAAAAGCGGGACTTTTGAATTGGAAGGTGTGCTCCTGGGAATCCTGCATGCCTAGGACACCCAACACGTGTTCTAATTAATTTTTCCTTTCCGTTTTATTCCTTTTGTTTTGCAAACTTTTGCCATTTTTTCTAAATTTAATAAATGAGATTTTTCTCACACTGTCCTTCCCCCTGGGCCTCATCTTGGCCCTTCTCCTGGTGTCCTGGGCCCTATCCTGAGGCCAATCCCTGCCTCCTCATCCTGCCTCCTGGGTGTCCTGAGCCTTCTCCCAGGCTCTCTCCCAGTGTCCTGAGCCTT